ATATATGGTATATAGTTACTGAAGCATATTTCAAGTGAGCATTTTTTTAATGATAAAATATGAAGAAATAGTACCATTCTAGTTTGGTGAATTTGATGGCAATGTGACCTTCCTATTATATAAAATTTGGATGTCTTTTTATTATTTGCAGGGAGGGGCTGGGCCCAGTTAATATTTTAGGTACTAATAATATTAAAGACCAGGTTATCCAGAGGAACTGTTTCATCAGTGCAGTTTTATTTTTCCACGCCCATTATCACAATATTAGAGCAGAAAAAGGGATCTTGGCTTGTAATCTCCTCTGGTTTCCAGTTATTTTCAAATATTACATTTTGTATGTATTGTAAGAACCTAAGTCATATTTTATAAATAGCAGTAACTACTGGAAATTTAATTGAAGGAGGTAGGGGAGTTTGCTTGGAAAATCTCATTTTTGTAATATAGTATTGAATAAGCTTAAAAATAAAAGTTATTTTGAGTATAATAAAAAGACGTAGCAAGTACCTAAATAGCAGTAGATGACTCTTGTATTGAAAAAATTAAAGTACAATCAATGGACGTTTAATCATAAGAGTAATCATTACTCTTTATAAGGCATTCAAAAATACAAGAAAATCTGTGTTCTTGGGGAATTCAATTAGTCAAAGAGGAAAGTGGGTAAAGGCATGTTGCTGTTTTTGGCTATTGTTTTTGTGCTATCCTAGCTGTCTGGGGCTTTTCTGAGTAGAATCAATAGGTGGAGAAAATTTAAATACTTGTAATGTGATTAAAAATATATGTTCATAGCACTATGTTAATAATAGGGTAATGCAAAGAAAATTATACCCACTTATTGAAAGCATGAATGATGCTATAAGGTATAAAAGCATAAGTCATTATATGGGTTCACTTGTTATATTAAAAGTCTCCACCTTTCACTAAATGGAATTCACATTATGGTTCAGAGATGTGTGTTTAGAAAACATCTTGAAGGCTTCAGATGAGCAGCTGGCAGAGTGGGTGAGAAGCCAATAAAAAACAAAGGCCCGACCTCCTGGTCCGTGCCTCCCAGCCCAGTAATCATAGCAGCTCACTTCCTGTGGATTGCTCCTCTTAGGAGCAGAACGAGTGTCATTTGGTGGCATTTCCAGAGAAAGCAGTATTATCATAGGAGGCATCTATGTGGGTCTACGGGGCAAGTTTCGGTCATGAAAGTTTTGGAAATTCTTTAATGGCCCAAGCCAGCGACATTTTCCCGTAAGGAGTGCAGCAGTGGCCTGGCCATGCCCAGGAGGTTGGTGATGATAAAGAATGCGATTTTGAAAGCAGCATGCTTGCTTTGCTGGCGTCGAGGGCTGGTCTCTCGTCCCTCACTGGCCATTTCTGTTTTGAGTGGGTGACTAAGAGGAGCTTGTGTTTACTTGGGTAGCAGTGAACTGTTTCCCCAAGGTGTGGATTGTTTGCATTTGGCTGCCTGATTCGTGCCAGTATGCCCTTGAGTTTGCATAAAACCCCAAGAGTGAAATAGCTGTAACCAAGGCCAGGCTGTCTTTTGATAACCTGGGATGAAAAAATTAATTGCAACTCTCCATAGATGGACAGTATCTGTTTTGAACGGGCTCTGCTTCCCACACGTGACAATAAGCAATCCGAAGGAGAGGAGCTCGAAGTGCATGTTGGACCCAGTTACAGTTATCGTGATACTGTTGGTCTTGAGTGATTTTTTTTTTTGGTTAGTATTACAAGACAAAATGAGCTGTCAAAAAGCCCAGTTTGACTCTGTCTATTTCTCCCCCTAGTCATAAAATACAACTTGATTTTACTCTTTCAAGTGTAAGTGTCAACATCAAAGACTGCCGGGTTTGGGGTTTTTTGTTTGTGTTTTTTCAGTTTGCTTTCTATTATGAAGAGAGCAGGTGATGCCCACTCATTTTAACAATTAGCCTTAATCTTCCTCACTGAATCGTGTCTTTTAAAAGTTTCATAACGTTTTATTAAGTGATTTTAAGACTATCCACTATTTTGTTTTCTGTTTTTGAAAACGTGTCTGAGAATATGTCATTGGCATCAACACACCACACGGGGACCGAGGAGGTCCTGGCTACTGGCTCATCTGAACGTCTCAGTGCCAATTTTGCGTTCTGTCCAAAGCCACTGGTCTGAAGGATTCTCCAGGGGACCTGGTGCTTGGTTCCAAATAAAGGGGAGAAAAAGAAACCCCCTTTTCTTTTCCCTGCTGCCAATCCCTGGGGATTGTAAACCTTATAGAAACTGCCAGGGGTTGAACATGGAAGGGTTTTTCTCTGTTCTACAAAACCGATCTGTCTGGCTGCTGGCTCCTGTCCAGGACCACAGCTCCTAACCTCGGGTTCAGCCTGCAACTGGGAAAACCTGCCCATCCGGCTTTTACGGCCTGGCTGACAACACTGGCCCCTAAAAAATACCGGTGAAGACTTCAGCAGTCTGAGCCTTCCTCCTTCCTTTTCTTCCCTTCCCTCCTTCTCTCCCTGACAACTGAAATCTCTCCTTCAGGGGTATCTCGCCCTTGGAATTTTCTCCCTTTGATTCAGTATCTCCATATAAATCCACCAGTCCTTTACAATGGAGGGAGAGATAGCAATTCCCAGGAGAGGAGAGGTGATGCTGAGCACGCTGGTTGTCGTTCGGAACAATTCACACATAAACACGTTCTGGGAGTCTCCCTGACCCCCAGAAAATCAAAGCTCAGGCTCTAGAGGAATTCTCTTTGGTGACGTTAATTGGCAGCAGTTGACATCAGCTTCCATCCGCAGCTGAGGCAGGTGCTACTGACACTTGCAGTTACAAGAAAGTGTTTCGTGGCTGCAGCTGAGAGACGTTGAAGAAGTTGTAGCAGTGAAATCTGTGAGTGCTTCCGTCCCTACTGGAGTACTTAATCAGTTGGAAAGGAATCGATCAATCAGGGAATACGGCTTTAGTTAATTCATTTTAGAACCAAAGAGGAAATCTCCCAGACCGTATCATCTACCACATCGTAAATGGGGGGAAAGAATCCACGGCAAATTTCCTCCTTATTTTTCTAAGATTATGATTTTTAATCTTTTGAG